AAAATGTAATTTATTCCTGTGATGACAAAGCTGAATTTTCAGCAGAAATTACTTTAGTTTTTATATATATATATATAAACAATTCTAGAAATTAAATATTTGGAAAAAAAATCGACATCTGAGATCTGAAGAGATCTGACCTTTCTGACCACTTGCACAAAGTCTTTAGAGTTCTGTGGGGTCAGACCCTGTATCTGCCTAGTACAAGCCTCCAGAGAGGAAGCATGGGCCACAATCAGCACTGTATTTCCTGTTGGACACCACATGGAAACATGGTAAACATAAAATGTCTTAAAGCATAAAACCTTTAAATCAGTATAGATTCAGACAAAAAAAAATAAGTACCCGCTCATGACCTACCCAGATTATTGCACTCTGACAGTATTTCACGCGTCACTTGGAAGCTGCGACTGATGTATGTTTCATAGGACTCTGATACGGCCAGTTTACTGACGGGTATATGAGGTCTAGAGGGGAACAAGATGACTTAATAATAATTCATAATTCCTTTCACTGCAAGAAGATATTCATGAAATCAAAAGGAGACATAAAACAATCTCGTAAACAATAAATAATGCTATCATTCAGAAACATTACAATCTAAAAGTGTAGCAAAAAGGATGTATAGTTCATTGAACGGCTAATAAAATACCTGTATGTTGTATCCACACATATGTTAGCAGCCGCCAGGTCTGCAGGAGGGATCCAGGCGGGTAATGAGGTCCCCGGCACCCATTTAGTCCACTCAAACAAGCCTGGCTCAACTCTGATCTTAGTCTTCCCATCCTTTTGAAGACCTGAGACATACAATCCATAACGGAAAAAGAGGCACATGGGAAGTAATTGATTTAGGGGTGTAAATGGGCATGGCTAATGCAGTAAAAACTGATTTGTGAATGAACATAACAAAAATAAAAGAGCAAAGGAGGTGCTGTTTTACCTTTGAGGATATTATAAGCTGTTTGCACGCAGCGCAGAGAAGGAGAACAGTATACAAAGTCTACCACGGTATGACTTTCCAGGAGAGCCTCCCCTGTAAAACAAATTACACAAAGTAAACACATGCTAGGGCCAATAGCAAAGCAGAAATGACACACTTCATATTTAATGGCATTATTATGTAAAACTAACAGGAATTAATGTGATCTTGCTCTTGAAGGGATAGTTCTCTCCAAAATGAAAATGTTGCCATAATTTACTCACCCTCATATTGTTGCAAACCTGAATGAAATTATTTCAACTGTTAAACACAAGTGAAGATATTCTGTAGAATTTTGTTAACCAAACAGTTGAAGGTAGCCACTGAGTTCTATGGCATGGGGGAAAAAATACTAGGGAAGTCAATGGTTACCAACATTTTTCAAAATATCTTCTTTTGTGTTCAGCAGA